AGTCAGAGACACAGAACTGTCATGAAAAGTCATCTGTATGATACGGCGATCCGAAGCGACGACAAAGCCGAAGTTAACCAGACCAAAACTCTGTCGTCGAGCGCGGACCGCAGAATCTACAGGTAGATAGAACGCTGCATAGCTGCCAACAAAGGCGGCTGAGACAGTCTATGAATACAAAGTCAAGTTCAAGTTCAGTGAGAGCTGGGACGCGTGCACTGGGATACGCCACGTACTGGTATATGGCACGTCCTGGGATACAGTGCGTGAGACATTCATCAAACAGGGAAGGCCACATGATACCCTCACAGAGACGGCATGCAGACAGCAAGTGTGACCATGTTGTAGGGAGTACTAGGATTGTATAGTATCAAAACAACTTACTCCTCAACCATTCGAGACATTGGATGCTTGGTGATTGCAATGTCGCCAGCTGCTAAGACTCACTAACGAGTTCACATCGTGTCATGATGATCACCTGAGGGTCTTGAGTCCGAAGGTGAAACGCGCCACAATGTGGACCTCAATTTCCCAGTTCAGCGCCATAACGGCCAGCTGACCAATGATCCCTGCCGAGAATCATGTGGCACTAATAGTGAAACTATTATCATGAAAAACCTCGCATTGAACTGCTCCGTGCGCTCGATTTACGTTGCTTGCTATAAAAGTTCTAGTAATTTCTGCCACAACTGTATTTACCTTGCCTGTGCTGACATATGATATGTAAAATAATACACATGCCCGTGACGCGGTGACCGATGCTGTCACAACATAACTGGTTAGCTCCGCCGCTATTCGCACTTAAGATAGAATACTACCCTTCACCTGGACAGCGTTCCTGCGCCGAACGCTTTGCTGGGAGCTTAGGAGAGGGGGTCACAATACCCGTATCTGCGTCGCATGCGTATCCAGCTTTTCAACTTTGGTGTTACATTTGAATAGCGCAGCATCACGCAAATCAATTCAAATGTGCATGAACATGTAGCTATACACTATTATAAACAGATGTTTTAAGGCTAATAAAACATTTATGGCATAGGTGATGCAAGCTATTTCAGGCATCAAGTCAGTAATCCTACTATGACCTGCTAGCATTGATATCAGAAGAGAGAAATCTCATTCTCTCTTGACAATGATATACAATGTTTTAATAGGAGATCTGCTGATCAGTGTCAAAGTTGATTTCTGTATTATGTGCTGCACTCATTTACCAGGCTAGATTGTGTGGGGCTCCTGAGTTGTATTTGATATTGTAGTGTAACAGACAGGGAAAGTCACTACAGTTCGGGATTTAGCTAAAACTAGTACGCTATGTGAAGATGTGTGAAATATGCTAGGGTTTAAACCTAAGTCAAAGGCATTTAGATTGGCGATGTTAACATGCGAAGTGCTGACAGGTGCGATCGTCTGGTGGGCAACTCGTACCGAAAATTAGTGGGGCGATAAGCTGCCGTACCAAAATGGCACGCATACTAGGACCTGTAGGTTCTGAGTGTATAATCAGAATTAGTTGCTTATTTAACAATAGTGTATCTGAACTTTCAGCTTTTGATTAAGCTGTTTGTGCTCGACTTGCTCGTGTTGATCAACACCAAAGTTGAACAGCTGGATACGCATGCGACGCAGATACGGGTATTGTGAACCCCTCTCCAAGGGAGGCCTAAAGTCATGCGGCCCCGCGAACCTAGGGCTGCCATGGAACAAGTACAATATCGGCCGTCTCCTCCTTCTCTTCCCATCTCTTCCACCTTCTCCATTGACAGCACCGTCCCAGCGTATCTTTTTACAATGAAAACTGTCGACATCATCTATCTCACTTCATCTATCTCAAGTTCATCTAAGTAACAACCATGGCAGCTGCCTCTATGCTCATATCAAGCTCTAACTATCTTGCCGCGTACGGCTCGCCTGTATCTGCCGTGGTCTCGTCTGCGGAGCCCTATCGAGCTGCCTATAACAACCCCAAGTCTCTTCTGCGCCAGACGCTGCCCTCTATCTCAGAAGTCATATCCGGTACTCGACTAGGAAGCAAACGCCCTCTACTTACCGGCAGACCTGAGCTAAGCTGCTGTACTTCGCCTGTGAGGGTTCGCAAACGTATATTACCGAGCAAGTTTAAAGAACCTGCTGCTTATGGCCCCGTGTCTGGTGGTCATCGTCAACCTCCCGCGCCTACTCCTCAACCTGACCAGGCCAGCTATATGCTTGCCGGGCATATGCCTCTTCCTGGACATCCCACCACTTCCTATCACGAGCAACCCAACACTTTTCAGTCCCAGACTCATAGCAACTTTACGCTTGATAATCCTCGTTTCCGTGATGTAGCAACTTCCCCCAGAAGTTACGTGAGCTGGACCTACCAGGAGTTTTTCAGCCGCGTAAGTCTAATTCGATCCTTCTGACTACAACTATTCTGGCTCCAACCATTCAGTGTAACTAACAAACTACACTCAGATTCGCTACTCCCCCAGCACAACCGTGCACTTCGCCAAAGCTTATGGCCGTGTTGACCAGCAACAGCACCTGCCCTGCGAAAGCGAGGTCAATGAGATGCTTGCCAACTTGGACTTGATCAAGCGCGATATCGAGCAAGTCTGCATTTTCATCCAGAGTACCAAGCGTCCCGTTGATGGGAACCATGACGTCAACATGCACAACAACGGCTGGGAGTCTGCGCCGCGAAACGTGGTAAAAAAACGCCGCGTCCGTGTTGGTCCCAGCCGCTGTCACTCTTGCAACATCACCCAGGCTCCCGAATGGCGACGCGGCCCCGAAGGTGCCGGCACTCTGTGCAACGCCTGCGGCCTGCACTACGCCAAGCTGGAGCGCAATCGCCTTCGTGCAGAAAATAGTAACTAACAGATATAAGTTGAGTTATTTCGAGATGCTACTAAGAAAGTGATATTACTCTGGTTACTTGAGAGGAACTCAAACATGGACTGGGTGCAAAGGGAGCTCCAGCAGCTGCAAGAACTACACGAAGAGCACGCAAGTCACGCTTCAAGACTTAATCGGACAATGCTGACGGAAACCCAGAAATTATTTGTAGTTTGTCGTGGTTTTGAGCGGCAGAGAGATGGGCCGATCTATAGGGGGATAGCACCCTGAGGACATCCACCCACAGAGGCTGGCACTGCAAATCCATCCTCCACGGTCCGACAGCCTTGACAGGTCAGCGCTTATTAAGGCCAGCACACAAAGAACGCCCTAGCAGGAGGACCGCCATATATTTAATCTATTTCAGTACGTTCCCTCCAGGGTCTACTCGTCTCAACCGCTCGTTGCGGCACTACATAAGTTGCGTTCGTGCCATTCGATCTCACGCGCTCAAAAATGCCCATGTTTCTCATAACCTCTCCCTTTCAGTCTCGGCGAATGCGCCAGGGATCTCATGCGGGTGTGCAGGTCGCGCGCTTGCCTTTCACAGGCCCCAGGTGCCGTCAGTTGCAGCGATTCCAGAGACGATCGATCGAATTTCCTCATAACGCTCTCATTGCCATTGAAAACGAAATACCCAGAAGACTTTGATATGTTCAAAATAATGTAGCGTTTCCTGACGGTCAGCGTCGCCCATCAGTAGGATGCCTAGTGCAGCCCTTATCTTGTGGCACCCCATGGATGCCATCTTGTTCACAAGGCTAAGTTTCAGGTCCCCATAAAGATGCATCAAATGCCACACAAAATCTAGGGTCTGTCAAAATCTGACCCAACCGATTCTTCTAATTGGACGTGGCGCCCCAGGCGTGCCTTCCACGTATTTTCGCACCGCGAATTCTCCTGCCCGAACACGCCCTGGTATTCCCGTATCTTGTAATAGAATTCTCCATCAACCGCTGTCTTTTCACTGGCATACTTTTCTGCCATGTCCCGCTTCGCTTCGCCACTGATGTCTGCGCCTGGTTAGGCCTCCGTGGGTCCGTCGAATAAACCTGCAGCATAGAGATCGACGACCCACCGCGACTCTGGTGAGTTGAGAGCCCTCTCCTCGAAGACACTCCAATAGAAAACCTGCGGGAAGGTCGACTTGCGCGAATATGTCGCCACTAGCTACTAATTCTTCTCGAGACAGTTTTGAATGGCCAACGCGTCCTGTAATTCGGGTTCGCTGATGATGGCCGGTATTCGATTCTGTGTTTCCCCAGGGCTGCAGCCACGCTGCCCTTGAGAAAGCTTCACAAGTCTCCTCACGTTTTTTTTCGGTCTGGTCCTTCCGAGTTGGGAAAAGACAGATGACCGAGACTGATTGTACATAGCAGCCTCAATGTATTGTCCATATGTCGCCTACTCATTTTGCGTGTACCTCCGGCGAAAGCACTATCCAGGGAAGAAAAGCTTGCGACGCTATTTTGACTGGCTGTTGATATTGGCAGTTTTTTTTATCTCCCTTGGTTCTGCTAGCGCCCGCTGTCAAGAAGCTGATGGGCAGAAAAGGAACCAACGAATTGGAGGGGAAGTGGGCAAGGACCGAGCCGCCCTCGCGAGCATGATGCGCCGATGGTGCCAATGAAAGGCGGTGGTCACGAGCTGGAGCAGTCATAGACGCACGAACGCATCAGCCGAGACTGTTGGGCCTAAAAGCAGCAACAAGAGGACGCCACTAGCTTAAGTTGTCGGGAAATGGTTGCGCAAAAAAGCGGACAATGAGCATTGAAGAGGAAGGGGAACTAAATGGAACGACAGAAGACACTGCACTCTGACAGCTCGCGGTACCGAGAAGGGGATGAGATGATAGAAAGTGGACGGATGCAAAATCATCAAGCGGACAAGGTAGAAGACGAGGAAGTGGACGCGCTTGCCGAGAGGCACCGCTGAGCCTGTTACAGTCGTGAGACAGATTTTGACTAGAAAAAAATGAACGAACTTCGTTCGAGGCTGGACTAGACGACGATGCAGACCAAAATCAACGGCGAGAAAGATTCACGCCACCGACGCCGGGGAGCAAGAACAACGGGGAATTGTGACTTCCTGGACTTGATGACCAGAAGACTATTGAAAGCCAATGACAGGAAGAACCATGCCGCTGCAAGTGTCCATATACGTGATGGTAGACTAAGGGACGCAATGCGCCCTCGCAGAGAGCATGGAGCCTAGGGTCGCCGCAATACCCTCATCTACACCGTGATTAATATACTGTATGTCCAACACTCAATAAACTGACATCTAAAACAGCGTGTCTCTGTACCGTTAAGCAAAAAATGCCCGCCGTTGATTTGGGCTGCTGGTCAACATGGCAATCGTGATTTCCAGTATGGCTACGCTGAGCGCTTGCGTCGTACTGTATATCATAACTGTTTTAACATGGGCATTCTTGGCTCTTCGCTGAACTGCTGATCGTGTGAGAGCGGGATCTGCTCGGCCTTCGTAGGTACAGATGGACGACAAATAAAATTTAGAGACGGCTAATTTGCTCAGAGCTGTGCCATTTCATTTGGTTTACTATACCGAGCCAGCGAGAGCAGCGTTGTGTAAGAGAGGTGCCCAATACACCAACTGCGTAGTTATGCTAGTCATTTTCTCTCACTTTTGAACATCGGCAATGGTCCAGCATCGGCCATCAAAACTACTTGTAGAATCATTCCTATTACTAGCTTCTCCTGTTATTTCGCGGAGGCTATTATTCTCCAGTACAAGAATGGACAGCCCCTTTGATCAGATCAAATAGTTGGAGGAGGTTGGTGGCTCCCGCAGGTAGCTACTGCAGATAACCACATGGTACTGCTTGATAGAGAGCATTGCACAGGCGTCTTGGGGGGCACAGAGTCAATTGGATACATCTTGAGAAAGAGACAAATTCTATTTAGCGCCCTCCGCTTGAACCTCAAAGTGATGCAAAGTCTTATTGACTATATCAAAGCTAATGTCAATTTCCCAATTTAGCAAGCCAGGGGCAACAGGGGGCAACAGGGCGTCAAGGGCCGTGTAAAAGGCCAAGCCGGCCGCAGCGTGTGAGTCCCATACAGAATTTATATATATAATACTGTGCCGATTCTGCTACCGTAAAAACCGTTACGGGTGTCGCTAGTGCTTTTGGTCAATTTTAGTTACCTGGCGGCTTAATCAAAATCGCTATTTCTGGCTCTCTGGGCAGCAGCCAAAATACACCCACTAAAACTATTATGTTAGAAACCCGCGACACCCATAACGGCTTTTGCGGGTACAACAGATCGTTCAACACGTCGCGCATGGCACCCTTCGCAGACACTGCTAATATGATTAGCTTGTCATTAAGCAGCAAGACAGCGCACCCGAGATGACCGTCCTGCTCCCACGTTGTCGTTCTCGAGGCTCCAACGAGACAACGTCCGCAAGAGGTATTTCACCGGAATACGCTTAGCTCTGTCGCCAAATTTCACTTCATTTATTTTCTCTAATTTAACGTAGATTTAGATGCGGATATTCTACGTACACAGGTAAGTATAGCAGTCACTAGCTGCATTGTCTACGTACATATTCTCCGTTAAGCTTATCTTCGTTGAGCACCTCATTTAGCAATTTCTAAGCGGCGATTCCAACGTCCTAGAAAGGTTAGCACGCGCATGCCACGTCCATATTCTTATTTCTCACCTCTCCTTTCTATCTACCATACTAGATACATCCTACGCGTTAAAGTCACGCGACAGTTTTAATCGTAAATCAGCTTCCATAGATACGGCAGGTGAGCGGCAATGCCAAATCCTGTGGCCAGTAGAACAACATTTCATATAAATGTACTAGTACGCTACTTTCCATGCGGTCCACTCAACATTGCCCTACATATGGTGGGGCCATAATACGATAGAGTGAATAGATTTTTAGTGAAGCCGCCACAAGGCTCAATGAAATGCTTCTACGGCTCTTCAGACCAAAGATATACAGTAAAAAGGATGTATCTATGCGGCCGACCACAGACTACCCCCCGGAACGCAAAGGCTTATGTACTGTCCAGCTTTCACCTTCAGCGGCCTAGACAATTGCGAGTTTAATTTGATTTTCTTGCCGTATTAAGCCCTAGCCTATTCCGATACAGTACGCTGGCGAGTCAGACGATAGAGGGTGTAAAGAATAGCGCTCCGCCAATGTACAGGCACAAGCGCGGGAACAGATCGGCGGATGAGGCAGCCGCCAAAGACCGTACACGAGGGCGAACAAAAGTATCCGGTGGATGCGCAGGGCGGCTTCGTATGAGACGCTTCGCAGTGCCAAAGGGATCACCTGCCCATCCAGGTCAACTCTCTGACTTGTCCTCCAAAAGCAGCTTTCAAATTCCTCAATCAGGCGATGTACAGAGTAGGAAATTGATTGTTTTCTATACTTGTCGGTCACGTTTGGCTCTTCCACAAGCGCTCACTCGGCGTTCAGAAGTCTTTAGGCTTGGTAACCCCGTCACTGATTACGCCGACTACCAGCCTCAACCCTTCCTTCCACTGTGGTCGACAGTCGCAAACATCTGCTCGACATGGCGTGGACGGGGGCATGCCGATCATACTACGCAGTACGCTTGCAGTCACCGGTCGGCCGCTCACCCGATACGGACTCTCTGGGTAGAGCTTCGTCTGGTGGAAGCCAATGGACCGTATAGTTTTCTTGTTCGCCTCGAGGAAATTCTTCAGGGCCGTATCGGCAACCGCCACTTCGCACATGTCAAGCTGGTGAAGACCTAGTGCGCAGTGGGACAGCAATTCTAAAACGCACTCTGATCCACTCAGGCGAAGAACCTTCACGTTTTCCAGCAGCCGACTCAGAGTCCTTGAGAGACTGGTCAGGTCTGGTTTTTCCCATACATCGAAATGCGGAAGCTCGTAATCATACAAGCCGACAGTATTAATGGCGACACCTCTCCTTCTGGCATTCTGAATAGCAATGGTGGCGACTTCGAGATGGTGTCGATAAAACTCATCTTTCATGATAATATCGGGAATCAACAGACAGTAGTCGAATTCCAATACCTCGCAAAAGGACAGCCTCACCTCCTTCAACAGAGGAAGTGCACAGAAAACAGATGACAGAAGCAGGTCAGCGCCCTCGTCAATGATGCTGTGTTGCTCCCTGCAAAGATCGCGCACGGTTTCATATATGGTCATGTATGAAGGGAAACCACATGCGTCTTCGTTGTCATCGTACATCGCTTTCGCCATATCCACGTAGTTGTCAGTAGTCAGGATAGTGGACCTGAAACAGCTGAAGTCTAGTATCTCTGCTCAGTTTCACGAGCAACGTCAGCATAAGCTCAGCGAGTGGGTGCACATACATACCAGGCTTCAGCAGTTGCGTGATTTCGTAAGTGAAGGAAGCGACATGGCTGCAAGCATTGGATTTTAGGAGGCTTTTCAGTTCCTCGATTCCCGCCAGAGAGAATTTGAACTTCACGCGGCGAAAGACGTTCGACAGAGAGGCTCGCCTGAGCCGTTTACTAGTGCTGGAAAGAGCTTTGATTTCCCAGGGATGAAGAAATCGCAAGACGGTCTGGATTATCTCTGCCGGGAGCCTCTCGAGACGACTTAAATCGGGAGTGGCAATGTTCATGGTGAAGCCGCGAACGTGTCGACTGCGCATAGATAAGAGAAGCGGGAGCACAAGCTCCAAGATAGATGTAAGAAAGTGCACGCATGAAAAGATAAACAGGCCGCAGGCCAGAAAAAGCACCGGGGCGTGGACTCAGGTATGTATCACTCATCATGACGCGGGGAGGTAAAATCAGCAAAGACGAGATTGTGTAACCACCACCCACCCTCTGGTTTGTGCTGCGCAGCGTACTCATACAGTGTGAAGGCTCCTCCAGTCCCTGCGGCGACTACCTGATCAGCTAGCTGCTATATTTGGTTCGAGCTGTCGCGATGGCTTGCTATTGGATCGCTCTGCCTCTTGCGACGATGCGCTTAACTGGCAAACTCGGCATACGTAGTATATCATCAGGAGCCCTTCCCCACCCGGGCGCTGACGCTGCAGGCCAAATTCAGAATTGCTGCCCGGAACGACTGATGAGTGCTGCCTATTTAGAAACTTGTAGAATCTTGTCGAATGCGACGAGCCTTTCCCTCTTCGACAGCAGATGTTGTCTCAGAACCATGATGGGCCCGGCCGCCAGCAGTTCTGCGGATCCATACCAGAAAAGTCTCGAGGTGCCTCTCTCCTTTAAATGCCAGAAACCCGGTCACCATACTGTACCGGTACTGCAATAGTGGCATGGTGCCTCTAAAGTCGCGCCTCTCTGGCCGGCCTTCGCGCCCGCAGCTCTCGCTGGCCTTTACAAGCACGGCATCCCACCAACTTGTTCCACCCCTCTCCTTTTCAACTCCAGTCGCATCCACAAATCTGATCCACGATTCAGCCGCCAAAATGACAAAAATGACTAGAAATGTAACACTCACTGACGAACAGCGTCGCTGGCCGGGGGAAGGCACGGCATGGACTCCAAGGTTTTGCTGGTTTTGTCGACACAACCATAACTCGTCTTCTAGCACCGACAGTCTTTGAAAGCCAGCAGAGGTGGGGGAGGTCGCACCTCTAGCCAGTCAGTTGTAACGGTATCGGTACAGTACCTACCGTTACAGTCACGTAGTCACTTCACTGTATTCAAGGATTCCAGAGCTACACAGCCTGCGGTCCAGACCCAGGCCATGCTGTGACGACACCAAGACGCAGAAAAGGAATAATTGGCGATGCCCACTTCCATCGTCCACGGCTGCTCCGCTTTCTCTACTCTTTCTGTTTTTTTTTGTACCCCTTCTCGGTAGACATCGTCATCCCCACCATTCGTCCGTTGCCTGTAACCAGATCGTGGATGGCTAGCGGCTATGTCAGGTCCCTCAATAACCAAGGCCAAGCAGCTCACAGCCTTACTTCTTAACATTTGCCTCCCAAGTCGCCGTTTGGCGCACTTCCTTACGATGCAGCTTTTGTCGCCTTGGACTGTTCAAATTCTACACAGGAAATGAACAGCATGCGATGCCGGCTGGTTTCTGTGCCACCCCCCACAGACGTCTGGGAAGGCGGTGGCGATAAGCGTTTCCACAGTTGCTGATTTGAACACAAGACATTTTTCACTGTCAGCAGATGGAACACATTTTACCTCGAAGTTCATGAAAAGCTCTGGCTGCGACACAGACGTTGCCAAGATGGTCTCAGAAGCCTGTTGATAAGAATGGAGACGACCATTCAGGTGGCGAAGCTGTTGCTAGTAGTAGCACTTGTTTGGGTCACCTCTGGTCGCTTTAATTTCATAATGTCCCTAAGACGAGAAGCCTTGGCTTGGTGAATGATGTTGATGAGTGTTGTACATGACTTTAAGACTGTAAGAAATGCAATTAATTGGATACTTGCCTAATATTTGACCATAAAGATAACGAGTAGTAAGTGAAGTAGGAACGCATATTGAGGCTTGCTGTTCTTAGTCGCATTACTATCCCTTGAGAACATGGATCTCCGCCAGTGCCATCAGCTCTTACATGGACCTAGAGGAGTCTCAGTGATAAGTACATCAGCTGTTGGACCAGGCAGTTCTGCAGCTATACTTTACCATTCTCGCCGCGCTTAATGCAGATTTTGATGTACATATCGATCATCCTGGATAGTTCGGTCAGGTATAAGCAGATATGGGTAGCGATTTGGCCTAAACTGCGCCATAGAATCTGCTCATGTAAGGCCGAGGTAGTCTGAGGGCCCCTACATTCGGGCCCCCGTACACTCGCGCCCCCCGCTTAGTCAACAGCGCCCGCTGTAAGTTACCCCTGATAGAGCCATTCCTCAGCGGCATAAGACCACTAAGCCGCCCAATGGAGTCTTCATCCATAACGCACCACAAACCAGATCTCCCTACCAACCTCTCACCTCCTCTTTACGTCATTACCTCGTACGTCTCAATGCAATGGTGCCCAATACTCTATCTTTGCCTTCTTTTCAATGGTGGGACTCACGAGAAGACCTGCTTCTCTATTGCAAATTTACGCAGCTGTCGAGGGCTATCGCTTTATTATTAGAAGATCTAAATGGGAATGTGGCCGGCAAAGCATTGTATATGCTTGCAGTCGATGGCGTGCAGGTTGCCAATTTTCGATATTGATCAAGGAAAAAAATAATGGTAATTGGGAACATGAATATCGATTTGAAGCGCGCTTTTCACAACACAACCACAAGCTACAACCTATGCGGCAGCCCGAAGACAGGCCTTAAGACGAGAGGGAGACTGGACCCCTAGACAAGGCAAGGTCAGAGGATGTACCAGCAGACGGACTAGAAGACAACGCAGAGGACAAGCCCCAATGTAAACAAGAACAGCTACCAAAGAAGATACAGCCTACTTGTAGCAAATGTCATATACAAGATCATAAAAGAGGCTCAAAATGCTGCCCTTTGCGAGATAGCAGCAGACCGTGAGATAGGCCAAATTTACAGCGGGTTATGCAAAACTTACAGCGGGCGCTGTTGACTAGCGGGGGGCGCGAGTGTACGGGGGCCGCCGTAGTCTGATTTGGGTTCGCCATGGCGCATTCTAGCAAATTGTAAATACAGCCCTGTTGAGCTCTGGTTCATCTGGAAGTGAGGTAAAACGCAGGCCGATTGAAAGCCTCTTAAGCACGCCAATGCCGTAGTGTGATCGCCGCCCTTTTTGGTATCGAGAACCTGAGCTAGCTTACAGAAAAAACTACTTGCTTATTCTACGAACAGTTGACCGAAATTTTCCAATTGATCTATATCAAGTCAAATCCCGTGTCCTTGCTGGTCTAGATTGCGTTGATCTATGGCTCAACATCTGACCTCCTCTGTCTTGCCACCATGTCCTCGATCATGTTCATTAGCTCTCGCTTCGCTCTTCCGAGCACCAGCTTCCTTGCACGGAACCCTTGGCAATAGCCTCGCACCTGTCATGGAAAGGTGCAACGCCTCTTGGACGGCACAGTAGTCGCCTGAAAGATCAGCGCCAAAGTATGCCGGGTCGTCGCCGTTGATGCTCAACCTGACGCCGGCCTCAAGCAGGTCTCGAATAGGTACCTCTTGCACCGTGGCAACTCCCCCAAGCCCGGCATTCGACACGGGGCACAAGGTCAGCAGCGTCCCAGCTTTTGCGAGCTGTCTCAGCAGCATGGCGTCCTCGGCCGCTCGGCGACCGTGATCAATACGCATTACCCCAAGATGCGAAACTGCAGTTGTCACGTACTCTGCAGGCCGCTCCTCGCCGTAGTGGGCTGCAAGACGCCGCACGCCAGACTCGCTCAGGCTGCCGTACACTGAGGTGAACTCTCGAGGATGCTTGCCAATCTCTGTAGAGTACAGTAACTGGACTGTGGGCGAATAGACCGTGGATCGGCCATGAACTATCGTGCTTTATATACACGTGCTTCAATGCCGGAGAGACTTGGCTTTCGTGTTGGAACCAGCTAAAATTACGGTGCTCGCACCCTTTTTCTCGTCTACCTCTGCCAAGACAGAGGCACCATCGAAGCGGGCGCGGATAGTGCGAGCGTAACGAGCTAGTGAAACCCCAGAAGGAAATTATAGACCAAACTATCCTGATTGGGCGCCATTCCGACGCCCCTACGATCCGTTGTGGGCCATGGAAGTTATAGAGACGCCGCAGCATACTCGTCCTTGACGGCTATAAATTCAAGTGCACTTCTTACCACCGTTGATGATTATTGTGACTGTCGAAACTCATTTCTAATTGATGACTCTCATTGAATGCCTCAAAGCGCCAACATGACCCCAAAGAACAAAGTTATTATCGACACCGATCCAGGTCAGTTCCAGTAATAAATATATTCTTAAGCCTTGATGCATAATTATTATTGAGCTTGAGGATACGGTTAAGAATATAGCCCATGTCTTAAGAATATAATGTTAGTAATTCTTGAGGACCCGCTTATTCTCAGGGGCCAATGGCCGAGCATGGGTGAACACTTGTGATTGTCATCTGCCAGCAGCCAACCAGCAGCCAACTGATATGAGCGCCCGTACGTCCCCCTCCGGAGCCGCGTCCCACGCCTCTTCCCTCCTGCCTTCGGACAGCATATTGCAGGCTGTCGGCTCACTATCTGAGCCTAACCTTTCCTCAGGCCAGCCTCCCGCCAAGAGGAGGAAGCTACGAGCTGTCTCGACGTGGGATCACATTCGGGAAGCCGAAGGCGATGAGCCATGGGATGACGTTGCGGGGAAGGCACTGGGACTTGACAACATCACACGATGGAACTTCTGGTTTAATCTGCTTGATGCTGCCATTCGCTAGGAAGGTGCCATGTCCATCTTCCTCAACCAATTCCATGAGCAGCTGGTGGATGATATCTTGACACATGACGACTGGCAAGTGCTCAAAACGACACATAAATTTCTGCAGCCGTTCTACCAAGCGACCATGGAGCAGCAGATGGAGTGGGCGTCAATTGACCAGATGCTGAAGAACATGGACATCCTGCTCAAGCAGTTTGAGGACGCCAAGGTACGTATCGCGAATTGCTACATCTGCGGAGCCTTCCGCTGTTCTACGGCGAACGAACGCTAATTATGCAGCAGATCAGGGATGTTGACAACGGGTACATGGTTAACCCGATCCACATGGGTTGGTGGGTGCTTGCAAAGTTTCACGAAGAAAGCGATGCCAATCCCAATCTACGTCACGTCGCTGCTGCTCCATCCGGAAAAGAGGAGATACATCGACCGGCACTGGCCGGAGGAGTGGCGAGACGTGGTAATAGCTGGCGCACGGCAACTGTGGGCAAAATATAAAGACCGTCCGTTGATGACAGGCGGTGCATCGCAGCCAAGAAAAGAGCGACCCGAGATGTCTCCGTACGAGCGAATCAAGCTATCGATGAGTGTGTTGAATGTACCCGACGACGAAGACGAGTTCGAGAAGTTCATCAATGCCCCGCCGAGACAGGTAATGGCGAAGACTCCGCTGGAGTGGTGGTGCCGGGAGGAGCAGCGGTTGAAATATCCGCGCCTGCACCAGATGGCCGTTGTCATCCTTAGTGTCCAGGCCATGTCTGATGACCCTGAATGAGTGTTCTCTTGCACGAGACGTAAGGTTTCCTGGAATAGGGCAAAGTCAGGCCCAGAGACGATTGGATACTCGCAATGTTTGAGCAGTTGGCTAAGGAACGACCTGATCAGGAGAGTCACCGTGTCCGTGGAGGATGAGCTCATGGACGTTTCCGAAGAAGTAGTGGTTGTTTATTGCCGGACGTCGGACAATCGCGTCGACGCCGATTTCCGTCAATCTTTCCCCTCTTTTTTCCTTCCCGTAGTGACCCACTGAGAGGACTTTTTTTAGATGGATAAAGTCCTCTAAGTGGGTCGTACGTGGGCGGCACCGGACCACCCTTGCCAAACTGTCTTAGCTTCCTCCTCGTGCTGCGGCGCGAGGATGTAACGCCGGCCGCTCTCACTACGCGGTACGTAACATTTCAAAGAAGTGATTTACAGCTATGAAAAGTGACGGTCAGAAATAGCGTTTCATTGCCTACTCAAATGGTCCCGTCGCACTTTAGGTGACCAGACGGTACAACAGTGGTACCTCTAATAGAGCCAGCGCCCCGCCGCCCCGCACGCCAAAAAAAGGCCCCCACTATTTTCCTTTAGCTAACAAAAGAGGGACACTTGATCCGCCTTTGTCCCATTGAACCATTCACCCTCGCTCCCTGGGAAAAGAGAATACAGGTTGTAATCGATGATGCTGGAGGAGAATCAGTACGAAGCATGGCCGAAGCAGTGCAAGTGGCAGTCAGCAGTTCTGCCAGAAACGACGTAGTTGGTGTTGGAGGAGCAGTCCACATCCCAGGATTCTGTGACAAAACTTTTGCATTCACGCTTGGTGCGAGAGACCAGCACAACCCATACTCTGGACAGCTGGCAGCGATTGCGTATGCTCTGCGGCGTGCGCTGTCTGAGCCTTGGGACCAACGGGTGGTTGTGCTCACCAGCAACAGGGCAGCAGCACTTGCGATACATCGGTCGCAACAACAATCTGGTCAAGCGCTGATTCGCTCAATTTATGACTCAGCCGACACATTGCGAGCTCGTGGAAACATGATCCTGGTACGATGGTTGCCAGCGAGCCCGGAGAATACTCTGCTACAGAAAGCGAAGCAACAGGCGAAAGCCATGACTCAAGTGGGGGCTATCGCGGAGAGGCCATTTCCAGCAATGCGCTCCACGACCCCGACTATTGCACGAACCAAACTGCCCGTCGTTGATGCCCTGCCTGAAAGTGTAGGCAGATTCTCTAAGCGTATTGACCAAGCCCTACCAGGCAAGCACACGAAGAAGATGTACGATCAACTCACCCGCAAAGAAGCTGCCGTGCTTGTACAACTGAGGACAGGCATGGCAAGACTGAATGACTACCTGCATCGCATTAATGCTGTACCTTCTGCATTATGTAGTTGCGGGCAAGCAAGAGAGACAGTGGAGCATTTCCTGTTCACATGTGTCAGATGGATGGAACAGCGAAAAGGTGATGCTAGAATGCACGAT